CTAACTAGGTTAGTTCTCTCCCTAAGTAAAGGTTAATTAGTACTTAATAAAGATTATAGCATAGTGATGTTTTTTATTTCTTAATCTTACTATACGCTATATAAGCTGCTTAATATTTAGCTTTTTTGAAGCCGACCTCTAATAACTAACACCTTTGATATATTTATTTATCGAGGATATTCTACAGTGACTATTTAATAGGTGGTTAAGGACTACGCTATATTTTGTATAAATAACTTTAGGTTTCCTAGTCTTTCTATAAGCAACTTATTTAAACTGCTTCTAACAATTAGCTTAATGTTAGCTATCCTAGTGAACTCGCTTCTTCTTTCTAAAGTCTATAAGTAACCACTATACGACAAATTCAGCTTTTAACATATCGGAGTAAAGAATATATGATTTTGTCCGGCCTAGGCCGATACGCTTAAGGATATTAGGTATAGGGGGAGGCTATTAAGGTCGAATAAAGTTAGAGTTAGGGATTAAGGATATACTTTGTAGACTTCTAGAGAACTTAGGAGTGAATAGTTAAGGTTTATTACAGAGAACTTCGCCGCCCTTAATAACTAAGGAGGAGGCAAAGTCGGAGAATTAAGATATTAAAGATAGCAATCTAGCTCTAAGTAGGAAAAGAGAAAGAACTTACTCAGAATTCATAAGGTAGAAAATTAATTTGCTATGGTAGGAGGGGGTCGCGTACCCCTAGTTAATAGTAGACGTAGAGTTAATATATCAATTGAAAATGCTATAGATCCTATTCATAGGCTATAATTGGTTTAATATTAAGGGTTAGTGAGGGTGACCCGCGGGCCACCCTTACGTACCCGTAGACGACCCTTATTATCGCGTTGAACCTTATAAGTGTTAGTTATATCTATCGGCTATGTAGCTATATTATCGCTTGTTTCTAAATAGATAATGATAATTAGGACTTAGAGACATATAACTTATAATATTGCACTTAGAGAGGTATATATTTTAGAAGGAATAGTTAAGACTTAGACCTTAGCAGTAATTTTGATTTCGGCGTGACTATCTATAGTGAATATATATTTCTACCTCTACACTTTATGTTTTCTAATCATTTTTCACCACCACCTTACAAACTACACTACTAAGAAAGTTAAACTTAGAAAATCTTCGTCAATAATGTATTACTAGCTATAATTGATCATAATACTTAAGAATTTCCTAGAATTTCAATATGGTAAGTGCTAATAACGATGAATTAGAAATGGATACTAGAACGGCTGCAAGTAACAGTAATTTATTAGCATGAGTCATCGAATTTATCTATCTCAATTAGGAAAGGTCAAAAAAATTGTGCAAAAACGGGTGAGTGAGGGTGAGTACGGGTGAGCTATACGCAACCCTCTGCGGGTAAGGGTCGGGTGGAGGGTCCTGACCTTGGACCCGTTTGAGGGTCATGGCGAGGTCTAGTTAGGTGGGCGGCTCGCTTGGGTGGGCGGCTCGCATGTGAAATACGTTAGTTAATATATTTAATTATCTTTATATTATTATTAATCTACATTAGCTTCCTATTAGCCGAACTTTTTTAGAATCTATGAAGTAATAGCGGGGCTTTATTAACGCCAATTCTTAATAGGGGAAAGAAATAAGCAATAAATAGTAGATTTATTAGTTAAGGGATAGATAGGTACGAATAGAAGCTTTGACCTTTTTAAGGACTATCTACTACTCTTAGGACTATTTAGGGGTATATAACTAACTAGGTTATATAGTCTTAACACTAAGACTATAGCTTTAATCATACTTTTTTAAAGACCTAATTAGGATAGCCAAGGCTTTATCCGCTACTTTATAGGTTATCGGTTAGGGGGTCCTTTAGGCCATAATAATAAAGTGGAGCGTCTTAATAGAGCAATTGCTATTAGGCTTTCTATAATACTTATAAATTATTAGGCCACTAAGTCTGACTTTATATTCACCCTTATACTAGGTAGATGTAACGGCGTGGCTGATCCACGGGTTCAATTGTGCGTACTGAGTAGTATATGTATCGGTCCCAGGCATGTCAGCCTGACGGCTGACATAGTGGTCTTTGGCCTAGTTGGTGAGACGTGTATTGACCTGGGTGCACTCCATTACAGTAGAAGACTTCTTATTACTAATATATGCTACTTGGGCACTTATATTATTATTAGTAATAGTGCCTTAGTTATTATCTCGCTTCGTTGACGTAGAGGTTTTAGATATGTTACTCTAGGAAGAATATAATTAGTAAAGTGTCACTATTTATATATATTAGCTACTACTTATTAAGATTAGAAGAACAGAAATATAGAAGACTATAGCCTATATAGTAAACCCTATAATTCTACGCCTATCAAGGTAGCTTCGAAATATATAAGAGAATTGCAACGGAGTTCTCAGAAGACATGCATAGGTCTGCCGCACCCACGGACGATCGACACCACATAGGTGTCGACACGTCAGCGTTGGCTCACCGTAACGCTGATCCCCTATGTTAAATAAGTCTGCTCCGAAGAACCCAGAGGTTCTCCAAGAATCAGTCTCTGTATTCTCTCAATATACTACTTGTCCCCAGGAATCTTCATCTTACCTAGTTGGCAGGCTCTATCCTGTAAACACTAGAACCCCTCTTTCTTACACTAGGAGATAGACTCGCGACCCTATACGCAGATGGTTAGGGTCTAATCTTAGCGACACTCTGATACATAAATTTCCCGCGCTTTACCTAATTAGGATAGATAAAATATATGACTTATATTAATAAAATACCGTTAATTAATATTGTATTAGTCACGCTCATATTTGATTACTATTTTGCTATAACTTTTACGAAATTATTTATATACATCACCTATGTATATAAAATTAAATAGAGATGATACTATATTTTTTAACTTTTTATCGCTTCATAACTAAAGGTAGCTAGTTGACATAAGGTATTATAGTATCTGGATCTCTACCTGACTGAGGACGTTGACTCGGCCTGATGCATGAGTGGATGCCTCAGGACGTACGGTGAAAGGATCATCCAGGACCTCACCGCCCACGAATGGGCCAGTCTGCATATAAGCATTTCCCGCTGGACCGTGGAACGGGCCAGCGTTCAGTCCCTATTGTAATACACGCGTAACTGGGCCATCTACCTCGCTTACCCACCAAAACCTAGAGACTGCGTGGTCTCACAGTAGTATCGCCAAAGCGACCAAGGAATCATCTCGCAGCAGGGCGCAAAATAGCCCCCATCTATAGAGACCAAGTAAAACAGTTCAGCGCGCTTGTGGATAACTATTAGGCGCCGGCGCTAATTAGACCCACATGAGCCTCTACATCGCTAATGTATATCTCGTCTGTTTTAAAGCCATTTTCAAAGCTGAATTGTTCATTGTGGGTGTCTTTTACTAGCCTTGAAGATTCCGCTCGTTGCAGTCTAATGACTATGATCTGAACAGTAAATATATAACATCGTAGACAGTCACGTCACGTGCAACGGGTATTCGGCTCCTCGGTGGGCGTGGCGTCGCTGAGTCAAGCCCAGGAGCCAATCAGATTGACCCGTATTCACCTTATCCTCCTCAATTCCACTTTCTCTCTACATTCTTCCCAACTCACAATGTCGTTTTCTAATTTGGTATCCGACATTGCTTTCCGTGATGCTCGTGTCGACGATGGCAGTTCACAAATCTCTCATGCCCGATCTCATGCGACCGCACGGTCGTACACAAGTACTGCCGCTACAAGCGTGAGCATCTCCGGCGAAGTGTCCAGCCAGCTGCATTCGGGATATAGCCATCCATTGACCAGGGCATGGCAGGCCGAGAGACAATTGACCAAGGTTTGTTCTCGATGCTGGAACCTAGGTCGCACCGGCAGCCGTTAACCTCCCTAGGACATGCTCATTTATCCGTTGTTCATCACAGACAATTCTGACGAGGAGACTCCAATTCCATCATTGCCCAATCAATACCGCCGTGGAATCAACCGCCTGGTCCCTTTCCTTATCCCTCTAGTGCGGAAGGGTCTGCGATCGGTGATGTTGTTTGGAGTTCCTCTCCAGCCGTCGGCTAAAGATGCACTTGGAACCGCCGCGGATGATCCCGATGGTCCTGTGATTCAATCCATTCGATTGCTTCGATCCCGTTTCCCCCAACTCTACATCACTACCGATGTATGCCTCTGCGAGTATACATCACACGGCCACTGCGGCATTCTTCGGGAAGATGGCACCTTGGACAATGCGCAGTCTGTTGACCGGATCTCTGATGTGGCCATTGCATATGCCGCAGCAGGAGCTCACTGTGTGGCGCCCTCTGACATGAATGATGGAAGAATCCGCGCCATCAAGCTGAAGTTAATTGAAGCCGGTGTGGCACACCGCGTGCTCTTAATGTCCTACAGTGCCAAATTCAGTGGGTGTCTATATGGCCCATTCCGCGATGCGGCGGGCTCATGCCCCTCATTCGGAGATCGTCGCTGCTATCAACTGCCCCCAGGTGGTCGTGGTCTCGCCCGCCGTGCCATCCAAAGAGACATGGCTGAGGGCGCTGATATCATCATGGTCAAGCCAGCCAGCAGTTACCTGGATATCATCCGGGATGCCAAAGACTTGGCAAAGGATCTTCCAGTAGCCGCCTACCAGGTCAGTGGTGAATTTGCAATGATCCACGCTGCTGCAAAGGCTGGTGTGTTTAACCTGAAAGATATGGCCTTTGAAAGCACCGAAGGCATCTTGAGAGCGGGAGCTGGTATCGTCATCAGTTATTTTGTTCCAGAGTTCCTTGATTGGCTCTAGTTGTTGGTTTTCTTCTTTTATTTGTGTCTCAAAAGTGCAATTGTTGGGCCTCGGAGTCTACTTGTGATTATGATGACTGCATTACTACTCTTGGTTAGAGATTTATAATGGCCTTGTCTTATCGAGGACTCATTAAGACTCGAACCAGATAGATTCCCCTTATGTGACATGATTTTTCCGTTCTTGATATTTAATGATTACCCTAAGAATGTCATTTCTTCTATTTTAAGACGTGGAGTTTCCTATTCTGTAGAAAAAAATCGTGGGAAAGTAGCCCTGGAGGGCACTAGACTTGCTTTGGAATACTAAATATCAGAATCAAGATATGGAAGACCATGCAGAAGCTTTGTGTATGTACTGCAAGACGACACCGGCTCGCCAAAGAAATAGGGCTAATAAATACAAGGAAGCCATTCGTTAGCGACAGTGGATATCGTAGAAATAAAACCAAAAAAGGAAAAAGGGAAAAAGGGCCTCAAATCATAACTCTGTTCGTCGGCTCATGACCTCCAGGGCTGGTATAGCCTGTCCTGGCCTCCACACATACAATTACACATAACTTCATTCACATCAAGTTGGGTTTCAATCCCTGATGTGTGTAAGCCGCAACATTTGTCCTGACAACCTCTCCCGGGGCCACATAAGCACCACGTTCAAGGCGGACCCCCGGATAGATGATGCACCCTGCGCCGAGATAGCACTCCTGTTCAATAATGACTTGGCGGCCTTGATACCGAATCTGCGAGCCCTTGCGCTCCTGCATGTTAGGAGAAGCCGTCGAAGTAAGTATTTTGACATTGGGACCTATCCAGGTGTGACAACCGATGCGGATGCCACAGTCATCCACAAACAGGCAATTCTCTGAGATCATGACATTCTCTTCAATATGAATATTGTATCCATAATGGCAGGTAAAAGGTGCCTCAACCACCACTCCTTGGCTAATGGACCCGACAGATCGAAATTCACCGACACCTGGTGAATTGACAAAGGAACTTGCTGGGGGTACAATCAGTTCCTTTAGCAGTCGGTTTTGCTCTTTTGTGCTGACTCCGGTGAGTGGATTGCAGGCGTTGTTGAATCTCCACAGTGCGCCTCGACAACGGTCCCGGTCCTCAACAAGATGAACGTCGAATGGCCGATAGAGGTCACCTCGGATCATTTTATCCTTCTCGGTATCAGCAGACAACTGTTGCTCTATGCTGAGTGCCATGCGGGCTTGCACCTGCGGGCTGTTCGTATCCACCGACGCAACGGGCAAGGTCCGTTGCTCCACACTCTGGAATATAGGCAAATTGGATTTCGGATGAGATCCGTGACCTATGTCCCGAATGGATGGGACTACGGGGTAGTCGGGTTTGGATCGTCCCTCTCGCGTTAGTTCATGGATGGATGGAACTTCCCGATAGTCGGGCTTTGCCATCGGTTCGGATACATAAGGCGGATGGCCAGCACCTGGCCAGCCTTGTTTTGACCATCCATGACTAGATCCTGTGTTGTTCGAGTTGTATTGTGGCACAGGACGATCGTTATCTTCGACTACCAGGGGCCTTATTTTGGTCACCTCCATATGCTCCAGGGCGGGCTGTCGATCATGGTGTCGAGTGGTTTCCTGCACATACGGACCACTTATGTCTTGGTACCCTTCTTTGGATTGCAACGGGACAGGCGTTTTTGTGCTGGATGGCTTTTGCCAGGTGCTCCGTGAAGAGTATCCTTCGCACAGAAAACCGCCACGAAGACAATTGTTGCCTACAATACATCATTAATGTCGCTCCTTGCTTAATGTGGATTGCCAGAGGCATCGGAACCACTCAGGGATCGACTTACATGCCGGATGTTGCTCGTCGCATTTCTTCTTTCTGCGGCGGCAGGTCATGCAGCCTGTCTTTGTTCGGTTACTAAATACCCGCTTCCTTTTGGGAGCCACCTGCATCGCCCCATGCCGTTCTGGCGCATATCCGGGAGACGAAGCCTGAGCGCCCGGCGTAGAGCGATTTACACCGGGTCTCTCATGGCTTGCCTCCCGTTGCAGAGCATCCGCCAAATGGGCATCTGAGGCATCAATCTGTTGGGCTCGTTGTGCTTGAGTGATCAGCTGAGAATCATATTCTGACCAAGGACTGTTCGCTGATGTCTGGCCCGCATCATTGCCTTCGGACCGATGCGAAGGCGTTGCTGATTGATTGCCCCGTTCCTCTGATACCGATCCTGGCATCGTAGGGTTGGATTGGATTTCAGGACGATTCCCAGGACTTCTGGAAGAGTCTCCCTCGTGGTTTAAGGATTCTTGATCTCGTGATTCTGATCTTTTTCTCTTATTTTTGCTGGATACCGGAGGCGAAGATCTCTGGGACAACCTTTCATCAGGATCTTTTGCTCCCCGGTCCTCTCGCCGATCCGTATTGGTCTTTTCTTGGAGACCACGTTCTCCGGGATTCCCGCCGATCACAAGCTCTCTGCCATTGACTGCAGTAAAGCGGGACGGGCTATGTTCCGTCCCTGTTTCAGTACCGGAATCGTGGCCATTCATCACGGGTGCAGCTGCAAGGGCCGTCATCTGAATAGACAGAGATACCGAGGCTCAAATTTTAGAAAGAAAACCTAAACAATTCTCCATAGGTAAAAAGGTAAAAAAGAAAAGAAAGAGTTAAAGTCTGATAGATACTAGAGCGCGGCAAGTTAAGAGTGGGGCGAGATAGGGCAGATTATGAGATCAAAGAGAAAAAGGGAAAGAAAAGGGAAAAACACGCTGAAAGGGAGGAGGGGGGGAAGAGAGACTAATAAGGGGACCTATAGAAAGAAAAGTACTATAGAGTAATCCCCAAAGAGAAAGGGGAAGTTGGCGCGCGATCGGCAATGACGGCGTCACGAGCGAGACCAATCGGAAGGCTGATCAACCGTGTCCAGGTGAGGCGCGGGTCTGAGACATCCATTTCCCTCGTCCCAGCGACTCCAGGCGCTTTTCCATTGGAGATGCGCGCGTTCCCACCGTCCCGGGTGCATGACAAATTCTGCCGCGCCTGTGTCGGCAGGGCGGTTATGCTTCGCTTAGTGGTGACCCAGGGAATGGGTTGAGATCACTCGGAAGTCATGATAGATGGAATATATATAATTCGGAATGGTACTCATTTCCTTCCTGGCTCTTGTCACTACTCATAATAAGGCCCGCGTTTCCATGGTCGGATCTGGCGCCCATCTCGGAAAAAAATGATGACTGCAGCGTGCCGCTGCGCTAGGACCGGGAAACTAAAATCCCTAGGGCACGGATGCTTTCAGCCTTGATGACAGTTAAGAGACAAAGGAAGAATGGATACTAGGTAGTAAGATGGTATATTGTAAGAAAGAAAGTAAACTAAAGTAGAGAAACAGCAATCACCCTGGATATATGCAAAGTGGAAGCGTCAAACACCGCGGATGTGTGGCGGATGTGCGTCCCGGCGTACCGTGGAACCGCCTGGCGGAACCGCTGAACCGCTGAACCGCGCCAGAGCTCAGCTGACTAACCCTAGGCCCAACATCAACTCACCGCCAGAGTCTCTGATAGCTTTGTTTTTCTCCCCTCAATTTCTTGGGCTTTTGTTGCTCACCAGTAAGCCGCGAGTCTAGACTCTGCCCAATCATCTCCTGACTTTCGAGAGAGGTACAACCCCTCAGGACTTTACCCCACCCCCAATCCCCTTAGCCTCTGCAGCCGTCCTGGCACCTCCACTGTCCAGGCGGTTCCTTATCTTTTTTGACTCTTGAACATATCGTGGCGAGATCGCCAGTCTGCGGGATGTCGATTTCGGTGCAAGAGCTGGACAACACCGTCCGTGCCTTGTTTGAAGGCAAAGGTGACCTGGTAAGTGATCTACGTCAGACCCCTCACATCCCACATCGCCTGGTTCTGCGTTCTGCAATTCCATTCCAATACTGATATCCTTGATTACGGCTAGCAAAAACAAGCCCAGCAGACTTTGACTGAAGTAAGAGTGCCCCCTCCCTTCCTCCCCACTTGTATCAAAGACTGATCTGGAATGTTGCTTTGCAGTTCAAGCAAAATCCCGATGCCTGGGTTACCGTTGGCAACATCCTCCAAGAAGCATCATATCTTCAAACTAAATGTGTGTTTTGAACTTGAAATACCCCCACCGGTGCTGATCGAAGGCCAGAGCCCTGCTGACCTTGATAGACATTGCGCTTCAAGTCCTTGACGATGTGATTATGACCCGGTGGAAGGTTCTCCCAAGAGACCAATGCCAAGGTAAGAACCACAATCACTTTGCTTCCGTCTGGTCCTAACCAAGATTGTCTTCAGGTATCCGTAATTTCATCGTCCGGTTTATCATCGAAAACTCCGATTCGGAGGAGAAGCTACACGCGGAGCGGCCCTTGTTGAACAAGCTTAATCTGGTCCTCGTCTCGATTTTGAAACAGGAATGGCCGCACAACTGGCCGAACTTTATCAACGAGATTATTTCCTCTTGCCACGCGAGCCTCTCGATTTGCGAAAACAATATGACTATTCTGCGGTTGCTGTCGGAAGAGGTCTTTGACTTTTCGCAAGATCAAATGACTTCTGTCAAAGCACGGAATCTGAAAACATCCATGACCTCTGAGTTTGCTTCCATCTTCCAACTGTGTTCTGAAGTCTTAAACACCGCGAACCAGCCCAGCTTAGTCAAGGCGACTCTCGAAACTCTCCTCCGCTTCCTCAACTGGATCCCATTGGGCTACATTTTTGAAACACCCATCATCAACACTCTCCTCACCCGATTCCTCGGTGAGCCTGACTTCCGAAATGTGACCCTCAAGTGTCTGACGGAGATTGGTGGACTGCAAATTGGAACTCCTTACAATTATGACGAACGATTGGTGCACATGTTCACCGAGACACTCACCACTGTGTCCAACGTCATTCCTCTGTCCATGGATTTGAAGGAGACGTATGCTATGAGCAATGGAAGAGACCAAGAGTTTGTATCAAACCTGGCTCTGTTCCTCTCGAGCTTCTTCAGTGCTCATTTGGATGTACGTGGGGACCCTGGTTTTTAGAAAGCACTGCTAACATATCCCTTCTCGAATCTAGCTCATTGAGAAATTGCCGAACCAGGATTATCTTACACATGCGCACTTCTACCTCATTCGCGTCAGCCAGATCGACGACCGGGAAGTTTTCAAGATCTGTTTGGATTACTGGACTCGGCTGGTGCAAGAGCTCTACGAAGAGATGCAACAGCTTCCCATCACCGATATCAACCCGCTAGTATCGATGAGCGTCAGTGGCCTGGCCAATGGCGGTGCGCCCAACCCCAATACCCTAGCGAATTACCCTCTGCGTAAGCACAAGTACGAGACTGTGCTATCCAACCTCCGCACTGTGATGATCGAGAAGATGGTCCGCCCGGAGGAGGTCCTAGTAGTTGAAAACGATGAAGGTGAAATTGTCCGTGAATTCGTCAAGGAGAGCGATACCATCCAGCTTTACAAGACGATACGCGAGTGCCTGGTTTACCTGACTCACCTTGACGTGGTCGACACTGAGACCATCATGATCGAGAAACTGGCAAAGCAGGTCGATGGAACCGAATGGTCGTGGGTAAACTGCAACACCCTCTGCTGGGCCATTGGTTCCATCTCCGGCGCCATGAACGAAGAAACCGAGAAACGTTTCCTGGTCACTGTCATAAAGGACCTTCTTGGCCTCACAGAACAGAAGCGTGGAAAGGACAACAAAGCGGTGGTGGCTAGTAACATCATGTACATCGTGGGACAATACCCACGTTTCCTGAAGGCTCACTGGAAGTTCCTGAAGACTGTCGTTAACAAGCTCTTCGAATTTATGCATGAGACGCACGAAGGTAGGTTGCTCGATATTCCCCATATTTTCAAGATTCCCTTACTGACCCACATATAGGTGTCCAAGATATGGCCTGCGATACCTTCATCAAGATTGCCAACAAATGCAGACGTCATTTCGTGGCTCTTCAGCCGGGCGAGAGCGAACCCTTTATTGAGGAGATTGTTCGGAACATGCGGAAGATCACCATGGACCTTTCCCCTCAGCAGATCCACACTTTCTACGAAGCCTGTGGCTACATGATCTCTGCTCAAGGTCAAAAGACACTCCAGGACCGGTTGACTGAGAACTTGATGGCCCTTCCCAATTCCGCCTGGGACCAGATTATTGCAGAAGCCAACCAAAATCCGGCAATCCTCCAGGATGGCAACACCATCAAGATCGTTGGAAACATCATGAAGACGAATGTCGCAGCCTGTTCCTCAATTGGCACCTACTTCTATTCCCAGATCGGCCGGATCTACCATGACATGTTGAATATGTACCGGGCAGCTAGTCAGCTCATTAATGATGCCGTCGCGAATGATGGAGCTATCGCTCCCAAAACCCCCAAAGTCCGAGGACTTCGGACCATCAAAAAAGAAATTTTGAAGCTCATTGATACCTACGTGGATAAGTCAGACGACGTCACCATGGTTAACGACAGCATGGTGCCACCACTCATGGAGGCCGTCTTGATTGATTATGCTCGCAACGTTCCTGATGCCCGAGAGGCTGAGGTCCTGAATGCCATGACGACGATCATCCACAAGCTTCATAATCTGATGGAGGACAAGATTCCCGCCATCATGGACAGTGTTTTCAACTGTACTCTGGAGATGATCAACAAAGATTTCCACGAATACCCCGAACACCGAGTCGAATTCTTCAAGTTGCTCCAAGCCGTCAACCTTTACTGCTTCCAGGCGCTCCTCAAGCTCGATGCTGCGCAATTCAAGTTTGTCATCGATTCGTGCATGTGGGCATCAAAGCATGACAACCGAGAGGTTGAGAACACTGGCCTGACCATGTGCCTGGAGCTGATGAACAACATGGCCGAAACCGACTTGCAAACTTCAAGTATCTTCTTCCGCCAGTTCTACATCTCGATCCTTCAGGATGTTTTCTTCGTCTTGACGGATAGTGACCACAAGGCTGGTACGTATAGCCCTTGGCTTTTGACACCCAGCAAGAGACTCACAACTTTATAGGGTTTAAATCACAGGCTCTGCTTTTGCAGCGCATGTTCTTCTTCATCGAATCTGGTAAGATCCAAGAGCCGATCTATGGCCCCGATCAAGCCCCGGCCGGAACTTCAAACAAGGAGTTCTTGCAGCAGTACATTGCAACGCTGCTCCAGAATGCTTTCAAGAATCTTCAGGAGTAAGTCTTCCAACAATTGGATCAGTTGACACTTACGCAATTGTTACTAACTTTCTTCAACAGGGGACAAATTAAGCTGTTTGTCATCGGGCTGTTTGAATACACCGATGATCTCAATAAGTTCAAGACTCATCTCCGTGATTTCTTGATTTCCCTGAAGGAGTTCTCCGATGATAATGCCGAACTCTATGCCGAGGAGAGAGAACAGGCGGTGCGCGATGCCCAAACCGCCGAGCGCGACCGCGCCATGAAGGTAGGAGGTCTCTTGAAGCCATCGGAGATGGACCAGGAGGATGAGCTATGACTAGACGAAGAACTACGCACCGAGTTCGTTGCTTCTATTGGTTCTCCCGGACATGAGCAGGCTTCGAGGTTGACGTCTAGGAATGACGGCCTTGATGGCTGGTCCCTCTACGAGCTCTAGATCACGGGAAGCTGCGAGGCGCAATTCGAGGCCCATGGGAAGATGTGTGTGGATCTATTATTGTTTTTTATTTCTTTTCCTTGGCTATCGGGCATGCGACATAGACCCTATTTCTGGCTAAGCGGCGGGTTCTTCGGGGTTGGTGTATGAAGGCTCTACCGTACGGAACGGATCTACCAGTTTCATCCTCTAGTGCACTCGACCCGTGAAAGGCGAGATAGTTTTTACCAAATGGTTTAAAAGACCAAAAAGCCAAGACCAATTCCAATTCCAATTCCAATTCATTCCATAATATATAGCTCTTGAATCCCGTGACATGTAAAGCGGTGAGCCCTTATCAGTTGCATCAATCTGGAAAAGTTCCTACTTTTCATACAACTGTATACACCTCTCACACAATGTCTCGAACACGCCAACCGATGTCAAATGTGCTCCAAACAACTACTGAATCTTCTCGGGACTCATCGACGGCCCGTGTTCCCGCCACACTCAGATTGCGAGCGGAGGAAGCACCAACCAACACTCGTGAAGAAACCTCCGCGAGTCGCAGGATTAGATGGAGCGAAGACGTTGTTGACAACGAAGGCATGGGAAAGAAGAGCTCCAAAGGTACGTCGAAACTTTATGCCTCCCCACTTAAGCAACAGATTTCCCTAACAGCCCTTAGTATGCTGCATCTACCACAAAGCCCGGCCGGTAGGAGAGAGCAGCTCGGAATCCGACTCAGATTCCAGCTCCTCCGACTCAGACAGCGACAGTAATGATGACCGTGCTAAACGAGCAAATCACGCTCGCCACTCACACGCGCGAGGACGGAAACCTCATGGTGAACACAACCATGCACCTGACTCAAACGAGGATGCGTATTGCTCAGATCACGGAGCGCCGAAATCGAAGCGCCGAAGGCCAAGTCCAAATGCCTATGAGAAAATGCCCAAGCCATCCAAGACCCATTCGCGGGGTACTTGAATACCTAAATCTGATAGCTGGGGCGGGTGGCAACGAAAACCCGAGGACCACACACGACTTGTCCACATGCACATTGCCAAAGATCATACATTTTACTTACACTCCCCAGGTGCAACGGGTCTACGGCATTCGCACAATTCTGGGACAGATACCCCTGTCTGGCGACATACAGGAGTACAAATGGCATGATCAATAAGGCAGGGATGAAGAGCTTTTCTGATGCTCCCGGGGTTGCACCCGGTCCGCGGAATGATTCCAACGCCACTTGAAGGGCATCACACCACTACGGCAAATTTAGGAGCGAATGGCCTTGGCAGGATAATGAGAGAATGAATAATGACATGAGATTCTGAAGATCGGCATTGCACGGGTATCTGAAACATAACTCCAACCAGGACTGGTTTATAACGATTGTACATACATGATGGAATAGAGAATTTTGATTCCTCCAGAAAAAGAAAAAAGAAAAGAAAGAGACAAGGGAAGGAAAACGGCGGCCCTCATACCATCATACTTTTTCTTCTTGCCGCGACTCGCTGACCACGCCCTGTTGAACCAGTCGGTCCTTCTCCAAATAAGGCCTCGTCTTCTGGAGAGGTTCCGAGTTGTCCAGGGGACGGTGGTTCGGTCATGTCAAGATCGTACTGTGCCATGCTTGCGCTCGTACTCTTGGGGTTCGTTGAGTGTCGCCGAGTCTGTCGTCTCGAACTGGAGGTATCTTGCGACACCTGGGCAGAGATATCTGCGATGCTATTCTCAATCTCTTTCTGTAGACCGGAGTTTGGATTTCCGGAATCAACATCGTCTTTTGGAGCCGGCGACACCTTGCGCTTTCGCCGGGACACCATTGCCATTAGTTGCTCAGACGACCTATCCTGGGAGAAAACATCTTGCTTCTGCTCAACCGAACCGAAATTCGTCGAGAAACTGCCACTGGGTTGTATGTCTTTCTTGTCTTCGGCGCTCAAACTGTCCCGACCTGGCTGGAAACTTGACGACCTCCGCGATCCGAGAGCAACGGCGTCGATCATTTCCTTAGTTGGACGGCGCATCTTGTCTCGTAGATTGGGCTCTGCATAGCTTACTACAACGCCACGACGTCGTGAAGGTCGAATTCCTGAGGACATGTCGGACTCTGCCTCTGCCTTCAAGGCATTGGGGTGAGGTGACAATGCTGGGAGGCTTGGGGTATGTTCTTCCTGTTCGGAAGGGCGACTGGTGCGTTTTTCCTTGTTTGATGAGGGGATGTTGGAAACACGCGGTTTCTGGCTCAAACACTTTCCCCCGAGTTTCTCGACGGCCTTGGTCTTGTGAGGCGAGCTTGCGTTCTCATTACCCTTAGTTGATCTTTGTAGAACCTTGGAGTCGCGACCAGAAGATGCGCGAGCCTTTTTCGGGGATCCTAGGTTCGAATTGGAACTCTCTGGTCAACTCGTCAGTGAAAATTCTCATAATAATAAAAGAAACTAAAGAACAGAGGAACATACTCGGTTCAAGGACCTTCCGCTTAGGAGGTCCAAGGTTTGATGATCCTTTTGTCATTTCAATATTGGTCTTGACAGGCGACTCAACATGACTCTTGATGGGCGACTGGTCTCGTCGGGTGAGCTCGAACGGATTCATCTGCTTCTTTGGGCTATGAGTCGGTCGCCTGAATTGGAATTCATCATCTTCAATGTCGATGGTCGAGGATAATTGGTCATCTTCTTCGGGGCAGAACTTGCGCTTAGAGCCCGATATTTTGAGGTTTTCTGGGTCGTTGCGCGGGCTTGTAGGCTGATTTGTGTCCGCGGTGACAGTTTCAACGGCGGCAATCGAAGTCGACTTCTTTTTCTTCTTGCGAGTCTCGAGGGTTGGGGGAAGTACTGGCTCGGGTTCGGGCTCTCCAGGAGTATCAACATCCACTAGGGACTTATAGGTTGTTTCCGGGGGCGAGGGACTTGAACTTTGCCTGCCTGGTTCTTCGTGGTCCTCCATCAAACTGGGCTCTCGCGGCGAATCAAAAATGCTATGGTCCTCGTGGACCATGTTTTCAAGCTCCTGGGGCCTTAGATAAAGTTAGCAATTGGCCGATAACTAGAGTCGAAGGGTAGATGCTTACTCCAAGGTCCGTCGTGGGTAGTATTTGTCCTCCACAATGGCGGGGAGTCTTCCATCATCATATCCCATGCTGTCTGGATTTCTAGGCCTTGACTCTGCCACTTTTGGCCGATCGGACTGTTCATCCCACATCTTATCCATTTTGCGGGGCAAGGAGCCCAGGTCCGTTGCCAAGCTGCTGAGTTCCGCCAACTTGGCATCTAACTTGGATTTTATATCGTAAATCCCATCGTGGAGCGATTTCGCTGCCTCCAATCTCTCCGTTTCTTGGGTGAGGTTGATGACCTGTTTGCGAAGCAGTACATTTTCCGACAGTAAATGCGACACCTCAGACTCCAGGCTGCGGATGCGAAGAGATTGCAGAGAGTTAACTCGCGCGATCTCACGATTTTGTCGCACAAATCGACGCTTTACTATAGGCAAAAAAAAAAAACCATCACGCGTCAATTTATAGCTCAAACGAACAAAGATATGATGCGCACTCACAGACATCGATCGACTCGGCCGGAGCCGCGTAGTCATTCAACCGAGCCATGGTGGAGGCTGAGGACAGCGACCACTGCCTAGAGCCGAAAATTGGAGAAAGCCAATTGCCACGGGTTGAATGTGAAGTAAATGAAAGTCGAGTCCTATTCTAACTGGAAGGATGGGTGAATCCAAAATACCGGAGGTTTGCAGAGGAGAAAGTAAACAAACGTTGAATGTCACACTCGTGTTGATGTTTGCCCGCATCGGGCTTAGTGGGATGACTCAGCATCCACCCTCCAGGGCTCTTGTTGATGGCAGCGGGGCATTACGACCTCAGTAGTGACAACTATCACAATGGCATACCCAAGACCAACTTCGATACTTCCAGGTGCGCCTGGTGGGTCTTCTCTTCGCCAGCCCGGCTCGCAATCGACCTCTCAACAATCATCGGCGTTGTCGGCCCGCATTACAGCCAAGAAGGCTGAGCTAGAGAATTTACGCCAGCTGCGCGATCTGAGTGGAACACTGGCGACGCAGATGCAAGCTTTGGAAACCAAGGTCTCCACGCTGAATGACGGCACAGAAGGTTATAACCCCCTCTGATTCGGTCGGGATGGCCGCTGATTACTTCTAGCTGTTGCCTACGTCTTATCCAACTGGGATAATGTTTTACGAGCTATTACCCTTGCCTCCAGTAAGCTTAGACTTCCACCCAACGTTCTCATCGGTACTGATTTCCGTTATCTGTAGAAAAGGGAGCGGACTCTACGAGCCCGAACCGGAGAACAAGAATGTGGACATGCAAACCGAAGCTCGCTTGCCGGCAACGCTGGTTCGCATTCCAGCTGAGCCACGTGAGAAAACTGGCGAATGAATCAGCCCGTAACCTGTGTCTCACTATCTCCGGACTGAGACCCCGAGGCTGAACCTACTGTGGCTGGGAAATAACAAGCGCGCCATCCCTCTGCCGAGTCGGTAGTTCGCATCACGAGAATTCCACTCTGTGCAATGGGGACTGCTTGAGAATGCAGACAATCTGAACAGCTCAGGCCAAAAAGTTAAAAGCAATCCAAATCCAAAAGTCCCCGGGTATTGGCGCAGATCTGCGGATTTGAGTGGATTTGAGCATGCGGGATGGCTTGCAAATCATGAGAATCCAGGAGAGAAGAGGAGTTCGCACCATGGCATGCAATAAAGTTGGGTTATCTCGAAATGTCGAACAAATCAGAAGTGAACGGTGGAGTAACCGGGTCTATCTTCCCCTCATTACGACATTGGGAGACTTGAGAGATAGTTAGAATCAACTGCTATGATTGGTGTGTAGTGCATGCAGAAAGGGGTCTGAGTCTTTTTTTATCAGGGCAGATGACACCAGACGCTCTGATGCCGTCGATCCGAGAGAATGACGATAATTACCAGTTTGAGGGACCTGCAGCAGTTTCGAAACTAAAATCCATAACCGTGGGAATATGGGGATACCGGGGCCCTAGGTACTCCTTGGCTGCGAGGCCCATGTGTACGGTACCTCCATTCAGGTACCTTTCCTTTTTTTCCTGTAAGCGCCCGAAGCACAGCAATTCCCATACACAACGTGGATCCTCCCCCGCAATGCGCTTCGGTACCTACATCTACATATTTGCTTCCCATTCCAGTGGCATGATCGCTGTGTGACTGTGGATACTGTTTCTGCTTTATTATCTTCTCTTCTTCGTCTCTCTCTCCTCTCTCCTCTCCCCTCTTTCCTTTTTCTATCTATATTCTCTATATCCCTCTTCTTAAAATCTGTCCCTTCACCCCATCATGTCAACTGAATGGTCCTTGGATTTCTGTCTGGTCTGTGACCGACAGACCCTAGGAGCTCCCTACTGCTCCCAAACATGTCGCTTAGCAGAACTGGACTTGGAATCATCAGATGCAATGTCACGGCGATCAAGCCAGGCATCAACACACTGGGAGACTGGTCCTTCGCAGCCATCTGAAGCCAATGCACAGGCAATTGCCCAACCCTCTCGAATCCTATCGGCCTCATCATCTCAAACCTCTCTCTCTTCTCTGAAGAGCAATGCATCTACCTCCAACGCGGCCGATCGGCTCCAAGATGAGTTACGGGATTATGCCAGTTGCTTCGACCAAGTACGCGACCTCAAGCGCCGCTTGACTACCACTTAGTGACATCGACTCAACTTGAAACTCGCGAACCGAAGCGTATTTCTCGAGCCCAATGACGATATGGCTCAGCTGCATACAGCTCTCATGCTGCACTCAAACAATAATTTGCATAGGAAAGGCGTCAGTGATGGAAAAGATACATTTCCTGTTGTTTTGGGACCCCGCTCTACTTGGACCTATACCCCTCAATTTGTTATACCTGTTATATATTATCATTGGAAGGAGTTACAAGGTGTTTCGACCTTGGGTTTGGATTACTTTTATGTACCAAATTGCCAATAATCAAGACTGAATGAACTGAATGAATGAATTTCAACTTGTTGCATCGATACCTGTAGATCATTCTTGAAGCCCAACTCGTTGGGTATGTCATTCCCTGTCAAAGTTCTATGTGGGGGGGACCTTGAGGAATGTGTCCGATGCTAACCATCTCGGAATGCTTGGGCTGCAGCAGATGCGACTGGTACCAAGTGTCCTTCTCAGTTTTGGTCAGTCCGGATTCGGCATCCTGCAGCACGTCTAATAATTCGCCAAGTCATGCCATCATGGTCCAGCAAGAGCCTTTGAGAGAGCTTTTTCATCCTTCGGCACGAAACGGACCTTGTATCGTGAAGGAATGGCCACCAAGCTGGTAGGGTCCGAATTGCCACGGACCGGATGGCAATCGGTCTTGTCATGAGGTTCGATGCGGAAGCTGTTGAGGGTTCGAATAAATACCAGGTAGAGTTCGCGATTGGCCAGCAATGACCCTGCGCACATCCGATAGCCCATGCCGTAGGTGAAGAGTGGAGCGTCGGGTTGCTCGAGCCATCGCTCGGGTCGGAATTCACCCGGGTCAGTCCACACATCGGGATCTAGGAAGTGGTTAGAAGTGAATGATGGTCTGATCGATTAGCTTACCCATGTTGCATGCCCAGGCATTCAAGAAGAATACTGTGCCCTTAGGAATGACAATTCCATTATAGTTGATGTCCCGGATGGAAGTACGGGGTAGAGCTAATCGCAGAACGGTGAAGAATCTGAAAGTTCCGTCAGTTCAACGTTCCAGGATCTGAACCGTGACACATACCGAAGACACTCCTTGACCAAAGCCGCCACATACGCACACTTCTGATCATCCTCAACAGAGCACATAGGCTCATCTTGACTATACATTTCCTGTATTGCCTTGGCTGCCTTGTCTTGAATGTCAGGGCGCTGGGCCAGCAACCCGAGACTCCATGCGACAAGGGTGGTAACAGTATCAAGTCCCCCAGAAAGCATAGTCAAACTGATCGAGGTAAGTTCCTCGCTGTTGAGCTTAGCCTCCTTGTCGAGGATAACGTTCGCCTGTATGCAAGGCTTATGTGTGCCTTTCTCCATCCGATCATCCAAGTCCCGATTGAGCGAACCCAAGTATCGATCACGACGCATTCTCATCTCGGCAGCCTTTTTGGAATTGGAGCTGAACGGATTCAGGCGAAGGAGAGGGATATAGTCCTGCAGGTTTCCCGTGGTGCTTCGGAATCGACTAATCTCCTCTTCCACATGGGTGATCTCGTCAAACATATCCTCTTCCTGTGAAGCAATGCGCACGCCCCAGTTCAGAGTCAATGCCAGACTCAAACTCAGACGCTGGATCATGGGCATAGGGTCCACAGGTGTCTTTCCCTTGTTTCCATATCTGTGCAATTCTTCCACAAAGGCCTTGGACTCGACGTCCAAGTGTGGAACGTATGTTTCAACCGAGGGACGGTTGAGAGCCGACGCGGCACCTTTCCTACGTCTCTTGAGTGAATCACTGTAGGGCGAGGTGCCGATAGTGGTTCCAGCGGTGTTGGAGAGGATCTAAGACAGCAAGAGTCAGTTCCGAACCTAGTATATATTGCAAAAGCACCAACCTTGTGAAAAGTGTAAAACTCCGGCCGCGAACTCAAAGCCTGCGCATTTTGACCGAAAAGCATCTTGGCCGAGGCCGCCGAGTTAACCACGACAACGGGGATATTACCCAACATGATCTGATAGACAGCCCCATAGGTCTTCGACCAGATGCGATACTGTTCAGCAGCGTTCGTCCGAATCTGCGACAAATTCCCAATCAACGGAAAGCCCCGGGGACCATTCATGCCCTTGATACGGGCCGATGCACGGATGAATTCATTAAGGACCACATAGAGAATAGGAACGACGACAGCCGCCACAGCCAGCGAGTGCCATGGGTACTCGATCACACGGCCTTGCAGGGTTGACAGGGCAGAAGCTATAGCCATGATAAGATGATATGTGAAATCTACATAGTACAGGGTCGAGCATGACTATAAGTAACAAGTGACTTGCAATGGACAAATGGAACATTTCCGTTTAAACATTGTTTCCGCCGTATCTCGCCTGTTTTACCCCACATTTCCCCAGCTTCGTCTCTCTCTTGGGATGCCGGGTTCCGCACTCGGAAGATTTCCGTCTTAGGGCTACCGAGGTGTTTTATCTTGAGACAATCTGTTGAGTGTTTGATTGATGTTTGCAATCCGCATACATCGTGGGTAGGCACTATATACTTACATTTGTGATATTTTTCTCCTTTCTTCTGAGCTCAAATTTGAATGTGATTTAAGTGGTGTCATTGTACACCTATACATTTGGACAGATACGGAGTACAGTGGGTAGAACCATCGAAAGGGATAAGACAGGGTTGCAATCAGGAGTGTTTCTCCTGGACACTCCAATTCCCGTCATTTCTGTCAACGTTCGTAACGTATCGTGCAGCTAGCCTGGGAATAGTATAAACATTTGGGATAGGTCCAGACCCTATTTTATTTAACACTACCGGAACTAGTGACGATCATACCCACCTGGGCCGCAAGGGCAATTTTTATTTTATTTTATTCTATTTAATTTCAATTTCAATTTTATGGACAAAAGGGAAGAGCCTCATATGTGTATGTACGGAGTAGCCACGGACCGGTTTGTGGTGTGCCAAACCTGCAAGGTCGAAGTCATGATGAAATACCGGAGTGAAAACCGGAATCCTTGTGGAGTTATAAGGAGAGCTGGGGGCACAAATCCCTGTGGATCAGATCCAGATGTTCACACGAGGCCCCTGAGCCGGATGGGTCCTCACTTCCACTCTATGAGTGGCTGATATTCATAGAGCTCGTCAGGTGGCCTTGAAGAGATTGATTTCCGAGATATCAAGCCGCTTTACTCGGCTTCCCGAAAGTGTGAGGACACATTTCAAGGCACATGTACATGTATATCCCTTGCATTCCAGAGAGAAATCTCTATTCGGAGTAGAAAACCGGAGGAGGAGGTCACAATTGGTGGGAGAAAAGGGACGTCACTGGGAGCTCCACCGAGATCCTCCAATGGTGAGTTGTGTTGGGCCCATGACGCAGAGCTTTGCTGTGCTCGTGACCTTGATGGGACTGGAAGGTGTAGCGATCAGGTATTTGCCAATCTTGACCAGGTTCTCTTTTTTTCCCTTCTATTATTCTTCCCCCTTCAAATCTTCCCCTTGTCAACTCCCTCTCTTTCTTTCACCTATCTTACTTCCCTTTCATTGGGAATCCCATCAATTGCGGAATTGCATCGCATTGGATCTTCTACATAAAAACCACAGATAATGGCCGCTCGGCATTCGCGCAAGTTGTTGAGACCTCTCCTGTACACATCCGCGGCAGCCGCCGCTGGTGCAGGTGTTCTCTACATTTCCTATCGTCCGCGCAATAT